CCGAGTACAGAGCCAAAAACCCAGAGGGCTCAGCAGGGGAGGAACAGTAGACGATCAGGAGACGAGACAGACACAAAACCCTCTATTCACTGGCCGCCAGGATCCAGGACAAGAACCTTGGAATCAAATGAAGAGAACTGGATCTAACAGAAAAGCAAATAATGATCTGGCCCTGAATGCTCAGGCTGAAGAAAATATAAACCAAAGGAAACAGGTGAGAGGAATAAATGATAATTGAGGCAGGGTGGGAAGACGACAGGTGAAAGAAATAAAAAATTAAGGGAGAGCAAACAGGGCAGATCATGACAGAAAAACTATGGAAATAGAATAGAATTTAACTTTATTGTACACTGTCAAAAGTACAAAGCAATGAAATGTAGTTTGCATCTATCCTGAAGTGGTTTACAGGAAATACATATTTATTTACATGTGTACAGAGACTATGTATGCATGGACCATAAATTGAATATATAAACTGAGAGTAATTGTAAGAGGCTATAAAAATTAAATAAATACGGAACCTATATACAGATTATACAGGAAAGTTGGTTATGGATTAGATATATGTTAGTGGGGTTGTAATAAATAATGACAGATAAGAGCAGATAAAAGTTTACAGATTCTGTACAGCTATAGTTGAGAAGTGTGTTTAAGTGGTGTTGGATCCGTTGGTTGTTGTTGGAAAGAACTAAAGATCAGAGTTCATAGAAAAAGCCCCGCCAAACCATCACGATCTGAAGACAGTTTGTGTGGAAGAATGGGCCAAAATCACACCTGAGTAATACATGCGACTAATTCCTCCATACAGGAGGCATCCTGAAGCTGCCAAAGTATTGAATACATTTCAGTAAGTGTGTTCAATGCACTTTATTACACATAACTTTATTTCTGGATATCTATGGTTTGATTTCGTTGCATGTGTGGATTGCTTGGATTGTTACCAACATCTGGTGGAAACTTCATGTCAATAGCACCTCTAGAAATTTGTTTACTGAGAAAAATGGTGATAGTTTAAAGGAAAATTCCGGTTTTTAACACTTTTAGCCCATTTTCTGTAGTGTCCAGGATGCATTCGAATGATC